ACTTCAGAAGCCAGGCGCGGTATAAAGCGTGAATAATATTCAACCATTCCTAGGAATGACCGCAACTGCTTTAGGTCCGTGGGAATGGGTGCCGCACGAATAGCGTCGACTTTGTTTTGAAGGGGTGAAATCCCCGCAGCACTAACTTTGTGCCCCAAGAACGAAATTTCTCCTACGTCAAACACGCATTTGTTGTTGAGTTTCATACCAGCCTCAGATATGCGCACGAGCACTTCTTTCAGGCGTTCCAGGTGCTCCTGCTGGTTCTTACCGTATAGACAACCACATCATCGAGGTAGAAAAGCACTCCTTTGCAGCCCTGTAATATCTTCGCCATCATCTGCTGAAATGTGGCTGGCGCTGAGGCTAATCCAAAACACACTCGCTTAAAGCGAAACAGTCCTTCATGCGTAATAAACGCTGTCAAATCCCGACTATCCGGGTGTAATGGGACTTGATGGTATGCGGCAGCGAGATCTAATTTGGAAAAACGCTGCGCTCCATGTAGGGCGTTGAGCAACTCTTCAATGTGTGGAAGCGGGTAGCTGTCGATTACGACCGCTTTGTTCGCTTCACGAAGGTCAACACACATGCGGATACTGCCGTCCTTCTTCTGGACGACTACTATCGGTGACACCCATTCTGAGGCATTAATGCGTTCGATTACTCCAGCTTCCTCAAGACGTTTAATCTCGTCAGAAACTTGTTGTCGAGCAGCTTGAGGAATACGTCTCATACGATGTTTAACAGGAGTGACAGAGGAACGGACCTTTATCTTACAGGTGACTCCCTTGACTCGGCCTAGTCCTGGAGTGAAAAGATGATCGAAGTGTGTCAGAGATGATGGAAGTCTAGGAATGGAAGACACAGGCTTCGCTAAGGCAGTTGGTAGAGTCCGACTTGCCTTTGCTGGTGGCAGAAGACGTTCAGTCCACTGTTCCTCCAGTGCAGCTGACGAGTCGTGCAGCTGAGAGGTCGCGGCTGAATTTGCTACCGTCGACTTGGCTGACAATGTAGGTAATTGCGACGACGTTGACGGTTGTTCTGCCGCACTTGTAGAAGCCTCACCGGTGTCACTGGTCGCAGTATAGAAACAAGTCCGCGTTGCTCCGCTCATTTTGATGTCGAGTGCCACGACGGCGTCCATGCCTAACAATGATGTGCCTTGGTCTGCAATGTAGAATAGTACTTGCGAGCGACGCTGCTTGAATACCACCATTGCCTTGAAGGCTCCCATGATATTAATGGGCTGGCGCGAATAATTCAGTAGCGTCACCGGTGGTGGTATGACGAGTGCATCTCGCGCAAACCATTGCATGAACGTGGCTTTGTCCATTATTGAGACGGATGACCCGGTGTCGAGCAGGAACTGTATCGGCGTTCCAAAGACTTTGGCGGTAATCAAGACTTTTTTAGTTGATGATTCTGTTATGTGGCATACACTGTAAACGAAAAGTAGCCCGGATGGGGGTTTTAAAGAATAAGATACCGATTGAACTCCCAAGCCTAAAGCATTCACTCCCGCACATGGGAGTACAAAAACTAGAAACCACCACTTTACTCTGGTCGCTAAGAGACGAGGTATAAAAGCGACAACACCTGATTTTACTCCCATTTTAAACTGGAGTTCTTGTATGACAACCCTCCGCAAGACGAAATGGGAGGTGAAAATACTCCCATCCGTCCACCCGTCTGCGGGAGATCGGCCGCCATTGACGCAGCCGGCGTTTCCCCCGTCCCGCTCAGTCCCGGCTTTGGCACCAACGGGTTTCCCGTCGTGGAAGAAGTCGTTATAATGGGTCCAAGACGTTTTGGGGCTGGTTTTTGTCCAAAATACCGACGCTCTCGAACAACAAATATTACACCAGTGAAAAACCCATCACAAAATACGAACTTTTCGCTCAATTTGGCGAATACTCAAAAGTTGAGGGTACTATGGGGAAGCAGAAGACAATCCAGCTCTTTTCGGGCAGACTCAAGTATAGTGCAACCATTCTGTGTTGTTTAAAGGCCCTTTCACACCGTGCACTTTTCTGGCGCATCTTGACTCGCGAAACGAGTTTCGTGAAATGAATGCGCCGTCTGAACAGGACCGAAAAATGTGCGTCTGCATCTCCCTGGGTTTTCACGAAAAACACAGCCAACGGCCTCTCGAGAAAGCTTTCACGCGATCTCGAAAGGATAAGCGAGCCGTTGGCGGGGCCCAGTGGAGGATTAAGAGGGAGGGGGGGGGGGGGGGGGGGGGGGGCGGGGCGGTCTGTCCAGATGTTCTGACTTCCTCTTGATTTGTGCATGTGTAAAAATTTAGGGCGGGAAAACAAAGGGAAAGGGTGGGGGGGGGGGGGGGGGGGGAGGGGGGGTTTCAAAAGACATCTGATACGCTAACCTCCCCTCTCTGGAAATACCTGCGTCGGTACCTGGCGGGGCCAGATTTCTTCCCGATTCCAAGCCACAGCAGAAAAAAAAGTAAATAAACACGGCGCGATCCACGGATGGATACGTAGGTTGCGTTTTCTTGGTCCGCACGAGTTTGGGTGCGCACAGGTCGGTGGCGCGTGGCAGCTTTCTCGATTTTTGTGCACTCGTAGCGACGAGCGCGAACATTGCACGTCGCCGCCAAGAATGCTCTATTCGCGTCGTCAACGAGCCCGGAGAGCGCTGCCCGACGGCGGTGACTACCCAGAAGCCCACGCGCGAGTGCCCCATTCGGGAATTCGGGGCAGCTGGGGCCAGTGTGGTGCTCGAGGCGCTCACTTCTGCGATCTGAATCTGCCGTTCTTGCCGCGTGTCGTCTGCTGTGCACGTTTTTCCGTGCTGGTGTGCATTTCTAACGTTCGTGCGCTCGACTGGGCGATTGTGCGCGTGGACGTGGACTGCTCCGAGGATGTGCTACCGCCGTTAGGCCTATCTGTCCAACGAGCCCGGGCCCATAGGCCTAACAGCCGGTGGTGGTGGTGGTGTGCCGGCGAAAGCGGAAAGCTCCATGACGCGTCAAAGGTAGAGTTAATTAGAATTAACGATGACCTCATGTGTGTGCTATATTTTATCATGTGCTAGTCGTACGTTAAGGCAGCCGTTCCCGATCGAAACAAGCGCCATCGAATGTACGGGAACGGAATTCGGGGCAGCTGGGCCCAGTGTGGTGCTTGAGGCGCTCATTTCTGCGAACTGAACCTGCCGTTCTTGCCGCGTGTCGTCTTCTGTCCACGTTTTCCCGTGCTGGTGTGCATATTTAACGTTCGTGCGCTTACTGGGCGATTGTGGACGTGAACTGCTCCGAGGATGTGCTACCGCCATTAGGCCTATCTGTCTAGCGAGCTCGGGCCAATAGGCCTAACAGCCGGTGGTGGTGGTAGTGGGGTGCCGGCACAAGCGGGAATCTCCATGACGCGCCAAAGGTAGAGTTAATTAGAATTAAGGATGACGTCATGTGTGTGTGCTATATTTTATCATGTGCTAGTCGTACGTAATGGCAGCCGTTCCCGGTCGAAACAAGCGCCATCGAATGTACGGGAACGGTGGACCCAATGAAACATTTTAACCAAGCCGGCCAGAAATTTTCATCTGGAGTGTCTCGGCTAGGTAAACGATAGCAGCGGTCCGCGATGAAAGTGGGACTGAAGTTTTGCATTGTTTGCAAAGGTTCTGTGAAATGCGCTACAATTTCAAACGCGTACGTTGTGTAATTAGGCTTCGTCCGCTTTCTTCGGTGTCAGTTTCTTGACTCGGCGAACAGATTGGCCATCTGTCAGAAAGAGGTCACTGTGGAATATCGATTTTATTGAAGTATTCCGGCGGAATCACCAGAGTCGCTTGACACCACTCCGGAAAATCCGCCAAGCAGCTAGTTTCGACAAACCCGATAGTGTGATTTGTGTTTTGTCACATTTGTGTGAGATTTTGGAGAAAATAAATGCTGGTCTGCATTCGTTATCCCCCAACATTTGTTTGTTTTCGATCTGCTAACCACTACCCCGAATCGTTGTTTTGAAGCGGGTCCAAACCACGGGAACGAAAAGGTACCGACTGGGAATCGGACATACGGTACGTGTAAATACGACGCGGTTGCCGCGAAGACACGCATGCTCAAGGTGGCAGCTCGTCGGGATGCGCTGGCTGGCCGCGCTGATAAACCAGACATTGGCGTAGCCAGGTCGTGTTCAAGGGTCGAAGCACCTTCGAAATTGCATGGTTTTCCTCTTTCCCCCTTTCCCTTTTTCATTGTCAGCTTTATTTTTTCTTTTTTCTTTTTTTTTTTTTTTTTGTTTTGTTTTGTGAAGGCATTAAAAGTCCTATGTGCTTCTCTTTCTGTTCGACAACCCACTACGGCGAGGGGCCGGAACATTCCAAAGCAAAACGAAGATGACAACACTGTCCGTGGACTGCGTGAGCGTGAGAAATAGAAGTCCGGCTCCGGCTTTCCGAAGAGCTCTCGCCAAACTCGACAGTGTTATTAGCAACCTAAGCCTTTCTTCGGGCTCGCAGGTGCGGATGACTCCGCTCCTGACGTCACATAAGCCGCGAAATCCTAACCTCGAAGGACGCTGGCCTCGCCTCGGAGAATGCAGGCGGCTTGAATAAAGTTCCCCTACTCTTTGAGCCTCAAGGACTCCACGCCACTATCAGGGCAGCGAAACAAAATTTCAAAATAGCAATTCGCGACTCCAACTAACTATAGGTGGCGCCACTCATTTTCCAAGATGGCGGGTTTAGTGAGGGTCAGAGA